CCAGGCGAAAACCCACCACGTCCTGGAACACTGTCGTCGATTGATTTGAACGGTCATGTACATCTGGCAAAGCCTCTTATCAACCATTTGTTCACTGTTATTCGCAGTCGAATGATCCCTCTGTTGGCTGATCAGATAGCTCAGTCAGGGCCCGCCAACTATTGAGGGATGTGGTCGCGTTTCGGACCTCAGCCTCCGACGGAACCTCTAAACTAAACGGTCATCGCTCATCCTACATCACCTGAGCAGAAAGAGGTTCGGAAGCAGGGGGCCAACTGAACTGATTTGGCAAGTACTACTCCCATCGAGCCATACGACGCTCCTTATTGTGAATCATGGCACCCGCGCTGTCTCTGATTATCTCACTGACGTCTGGTTTTCCGAGACCAATGGTGCGGATCAGCTGGAAGAGCTTGCGGTAATTGCTTACTGCTCCTACCTCCTCCATTTCTTGAGCCTGACTGGTTCACCAGACTTCCTTGTCAGCACGCAGGCTCCGCCTTAATTCGCGTCTACTAGTCCATCTGGTCACATTGTGTTCAGAGACAGTCGAGGGGTTTCTTCTAGATTACAACAGGTTCACCGACCTCTCATATATCCAGTGACTGGGACTGTGGTGATTGTTAGTACTACAAACAGATGTTCCTACATCGTGCATGGCGGCCGACATCCTATTCCACTGAAGCTCAGTATCATTAGGACAAGACAGTGAAAGTTCGGTACACAGTGCGTCTTGATAGGTTTGCCTGATCGAGGGTTGAGACAATTTCTCAGTTGCCAATTGCAGGAGACGCTTGGTGCGCCTCTCGGTAAAGTTCATGGAGAAACGACAGCGTACCGAAGCATGATCAGAGTCGACGCAGGTACTCGAGTACGAGCGGTAATCCAGGATGGAACCACGCCACCTGTCACTTGGGGCAATGTGATCTATTTCGGTCTATCGCTGGCCAGCTACAGGACGCCAAGTGGCACTCCAGCGTCCACTGTGTCTAAAAGCGGTGCTACCAAGAAACAGCTAGTGCTCCGCACTCAGTTGCGACAGACGCTCACCGTTGTCCGTCGGTTCAAAGAGAAGCCCCCAATTACCATTTTGCTGAGCTTCTGAGGAGTCCAGGCGACCAATGTGTAAATTCATATTGTCCGCAGGTACTATGATATCTGAACTGGTGGCACTGTGTAGCAGTGTGTTCAGTTCGTGAGAGAAGGTATCTTTGTCAGCATCAGAACTAGTCAGTGGGAGCACAAACAAACACCGTCTTGTACTAGTTCCTGAGTCAAACTTAACTGATGCCGTTAAACGGGCTGCACACAAACGGCGGCTAACGGGAATCCGAGCAACCAACGATGACTCGACCTTGGAGCTGAGAACGATGTTCACCCCAGCTTGACCAGTGACTTCAGACTCAGTGCATCCTCACGCGTGCATTCAATAAGGAGAGGACAAATTGGGCAAGTTCAATTCAACAACCATATGAGGGTCACTGATCTTAACTTCGGATACGCAACACATGTCAATACCCAGTGTGTCCAACGGGCTTGTGAGTGCAGCCTGCTAACCCATTTGTCTTGGAGTGCGAACGTTGAACGTCGCCAGAGAAATGGGACAGTGTGGTTTGATAAACGATTGTCACCGGTAGGCGTCCAGTGGGCAGTGCAGATGGTTCGACTCCAGTGGCATTACGGCTGCTGTCAATTGCGCTAAGAATTATAGTAGGAGGTTGGGAGGGGAGTAAGAGAGACAGGTGGAAAAGGAAGAAGGGAGGCACCAGCAGTGGCATATTTTCGTCTACTCGCCCTGCTGTATGCAGCATATAAGGCGACCCTTGATAATCTGCGCGACGGCCGATGCCGGATGTGGTTGGAGTTTGAAGAAATAATCGTGACTGCACGCGAGATGAGGTCCTGTCAGGGCGCCCAGACCTAGACAGGAGGACGATTAGGGTCACCAACCAAAGCCTTTGGCTCAAAAGGCTGTCCGCAAGTCAGCGATGAGTTGGCGATGGTTTGGTTTTACAGAAATGGACGCCAACCAATTTCAAACCCCCAACCTGGAGGACCAGGAGACTGAGTTCATCTGACCTCTAACCATTGACCAACCTGGTAGCAGTAGCTCTCAAGAGATCCTGGTGCACTACCGAGTATAGTCCAATGGGTCAAACGTACGCAAACCGTCGCAACACGTTAAGGTCCAGTCTCGTTGTGACGGAAGGCTGAGGAATTTAGATAACTCAATGGAGTGAGTCGAACCATAGTCATTCATCGTCTTGGTACCCTCCTCTACTAGATCGTATGATGTGTACCATTACTATAGGTACCTGAGGGAAGCAGCGGGGTTGTGGGCTGATGGTACAGTGAGAACGCATGAGGAAACCGCTTGAGAGACTTGATCAGTCAAATGGGTTATTTGAAGCCCTATTAATCGGTAACATTCCCTTTCCTGCTTCAGTGAAACGTTGCATCCATACTCTAGCGGCTGATTCCTAATGCTTCCACCGGACAAGTTTAGTATTTACATCCCGTTTTGGTAGCGACAATCATGAGGACTAATGTCCATGGCGCGTCTTCTGCTTGCCAATCTGTGCTTGATGTCTACTGGTACTTTCATGTACCTAAAATGACATCTTTTATCGTGGTTAAAACTATGAACACCCCCGCTATTTAGGGTGGATTGCGGAAGGCGAAACTACACCTCAGATGTCCGATTCCGTCGCAGCACCATTCGAAAACTATTTGGAATTGGTCACCGATTCGTAGTCTTCCTTCGGCAGGTAAACATTGGAGCTGCCTCATCTGTTTCAAATCAAGTCAAGAAAGGTGTTATGTACCCGTATGAGTGCATTCTCAGCAACTTACAGCATCAACTGCGAATTAAGCAACATGGCATCATCAAAATTGCAACGTTTTATAAGTGTATAAACAAAAGGGAAGAACGCATTGATGTCACTCGAGTAAAGAGATAATCATTTTCGGGCACTAAGCGCAAGTTGATAAACAAAATCCTCGGGTTATTTTAATCAGAGAGAGTAGAGTTATACGAAAACATTTCTTTAGAATTGGTTTCAACCGGACTAAAAGTTCGTGGCCAAAAGCAACATGTCGCGAGTAGTAGTGCGTGGTATCTCGACTTAGTATTCAAAAGGTGGGGAGTAAGACGATCCTGGTTAACTTGAAAGCATTTCGGACAAAACGATGTCAAAATCTTCCGTCAAAACTGATAGATTCACAGTAGATAACGTACAATGGATGTTCAATGAAGAAGCGACGGTCGATTTAAAGGCCCCGCCAAGAAGTAAGATCAACAACCTAAGAAGTTGCTTCTCCAGAGGTAAATCGTATAGAGACGTTCACGATGTCAAAGGTCGCACGATGGATTCCGGACGTATGTGTTTACTACAGTGCACGCATTGTCCCAGAATGCAGTAAGAAGCCAATGAATGAGTTTATCGCCTGACTGAATCGCGCAGTACCGTAGTGTGAGCATTTCATTGGCACAAAGAACAAATACGGCAGCATGCTGATGTAAATGTTAGATCTCCGGGGTCACCGATAACCACTTAGGCGAAATGATGCTGCTTGAAGATGTCATTACGTCAGCCTGAGCTCGGGACTGCGAGTTGGAGAAAAAAGATGGAAATGTGGCCACAATGGAAATAGTCCCTCTGGATCAAGTTTGCCGAAGCAGCAACAAAACACTCTAGTCCTTACCGGTGGAGGAGCTAACATGTTACCACTGAGGCAGAACTTCGTATCTGGCCAAGTTGCTTTAGATGCACGGATGATGGCTGACGACAACTCTTTTTTCCTAGCTCTTAGACTTTGGTGAAGTACATCTGATTGGGCGAGTGCGTGTACCAAACACGCAGAAACACATTAAGCCCGGGTTCACTTCAAATAATGTTGACTAAGATTTGAAACTGAACCATGCAAACGTCGCGATTCACGGTGATCGATTAGAGTAAAATACTTCGCCACATGCTATGAGCGCAAACCTGATTTGTTAAAAAGATCCGGTTATGCACCCGGGAGAGACAGAATCGAGATGAAAAACATGGCTATCAGGCTACAAACTACGTGCCCGAAAACGTAGCTTTTATGCAGTTCGGTTCCAAAACCACAGTGCACAACAATTAACGGATGACCCAGGCATCGAGCACTCCTCTACTCCAGCCACAGAAAGCAACGTAAATGTCAAGAACCTTAGTGTAAAAGGCAATCGCATCAGAACATTGCTTTTGATCTCATCTTGGCGAAAGGAACAAAGTGGCCATGGCACGCTGGTCAGTCCGACATGAGGAGGAACAGGATGCGGAACTTTGTGTGTGAATGATGCTATAGGTCAGTTAGTACTGGGTGGTCTCGTTCCACGGTTTCTACATACAACCTTGTGAAAATGGGACATTTTCTGTACATTCCGGTTGGTGTTCGCCTGAGACCGGCCACAAGCAGAACTAATCGGGGTAAAGATAATTTGCGCGTTTTCCGATAGTATTATATAACCAAAAGATGATCACGTCCGACCGCACGTTGACTATAGCAGACTAGTGCCTCAGTAATTATTATTTATTAAGTGATTACAAGCCACTGAGATGTGAGCGAGAGCTAATAAAGTTGTACACATTACAGAGGGTGTGGCGCTTGAGGCCAACTATGTCAGGCACATAGGTTTTAGGGCTACTACCCATATGGCTGTGTATCAAGGAATGAATATCACGGTCTCATCTCAGCTCCAATGCGACTGAGATGGTACCTACGCATTCATCAGTGTGATGTATAGCTTGATGAAGTGCTCTACCCAATATGGTCCAGCATAATCAACTTCCCTGATCGCGCTCGATTACAGGCGTTTCAGCAGACGCGATTGTAAATGAGAGCAGAAGTGATCTAGGAGAGGAAGTATAAAGACTCAGAGACTAGATAAGAAGGAGAAAGAGTACTGAGACTAGACCTAAAGGTGAATCAAGGGTAGTGATTGTTGCAGCTAACTGGTCATTCTTACTTACTTGCAGGCAAAACAGCATTCGTGTTTAGCCAGCTAAATAGGATGAAAACAGGCAAGGTTATGGCTGAGGGAAGGGTCGTGACAGTGACAACAAAGAAAGGGAACAACAACGCACCGTGGGTAGCAGGCTTACCTAACTCCGACAGTTTACCAAGGAACAGACGGCAGCTGCGCTTCTCCGCCAGTGCATGTAGTTCACAATCAATACGCCTTTCCAGTTCATTGATCTCTGCAGATATCTTAGCGAAAGCCGTTTCATCCAACTCCTTTTAGCAAGTTGATGGGAAAGAGGAGTATGGAGTATAAGTCCATAAGCGTGCGTAATACGTAGACGTCTGTGAAAAAGCGCTAGTTGAACTTGGGGCTTGAGCAATATTTTTGTTAAGTATGCATCAACCATGGTCGGAGAAGGGGATTAAATGCACAGTGTCAATGCATAGGTTGTCGTTGATTGAAACAGGCATCAGCAGTGCATTGGCACTGCGCACCGACGCTACACTGCCACACAACCACCACCAGTCGCGCGCGGTCTATAAACACCGTGTGATTGAACAGGTTATCTTAGACTTACAAAACAGATGCCTCACCCTTTCGGCCATTACCCGGCAGAGTATACACATTAAGTATATGCCTGGAACGGTGGACTCTGATGCGGAGAATTTATGGACAATAAGGTGCAAACACTTCAAGATTCACGTATAGACTGACATCTGTTGCAGATGCATTACTGAACAGGACTAGTGGGTACAGATATGGTTCAGATGCCAGGATTGATTGTAAAAACGATTGGGATTCCCAAGATATCGAGCTGTTGATTGAAAGATTGGAGTGGATTGTGTATAATAGTATACCCCAAGACAAACTGGGAAGAGGTAATTCAATGAGTAGTCTAAATAAAGGTATTCAAATGTAGACGTCCAAAGAAAGCCACTGCTCACCAAACAGTCTGGCCAACTTGCGATGAAGATGCCAGTCAGAGTAGACTCTGTAGATACTGGTGGACAATCAGATACAACACATTTTGCCTGTCGGGGATGCGCGTCGATGTACGAGGTCTTAGAAGCATCATGTGGTAACATGGCAAAATAACAGAAAGCGGGCCCGGGTAACGCTGTTGCGTGCATCCTCTATAGGTGCAATATAGCAGCCATTAACAGCACGTACGGCACAGTGAGTAGACCAGAGCCTGCGCTTCAGTTGGTTGCGACGACTTATCGTTGGTCTTCCACATCCTCTTGTCAGAACCAAACTGTTGTTTCATCGTAAACATTATGTGATTATGGAGATCCACAACTCGATTCACCGCAACGAGATCGCGGTTGGCAAACAGCAGTAAGACTTAGATCACTAAATGTTGAGCTAAATGTTGAACTGTATACAGCATAACAACATGCAACCGTTCATTGTAAGCCGAAAGGCATTGTTTTAGCTGTGTCGCCTCACGTCGTCGAACAGCAACAACCACAATAAGAATACCATAGAAATTAATGTAAATATAGATGGAATAGTCAATAGGCATAAATGAACAACTACAAGAACGCCAATGGGCTCGCGTTACATCTTATACGGTGCAGCGACCTATTTTGCTTTCTAGTGCGTTTCTTACTGCACTTGTGCCACGCCCCTGGCTGATCTCCGCGAGGTTTCACTCAATTAGGCGAAATATTGACAAGCAATTAACGGGTACCCAAAGGATAAACTTGATCAGCAGCAAAACACAAAGTGGTGAGATGTGTGCAAAAGGCCCCAAACCACGGTAGAAGTGAGAAATCACTACTGCTCACTTTGACCGCCTCATCCGACTTTTTGGAGGCGGAGAAAGCCGGTGGATCCTGCTCTTCTTCGTAGTCAACGGCGAAAAAATCTTCAATGCTGAGAGCTGAAGTTGGTGTACGTCCAAATTCATCCAATCGTTTTCGCGCTGTTTGTTGACTGATACGAGCTGGAGAGTGAAACAAACGGAGATAACTGGTAATGGTGTGATTCCATTAAAGCGAAACCATGGGACAAAAAGGCATTTGCTTAGTGAACAAACGGGGAGAGTTAAATCCAATGGCATGCAGCAAATCAGAGAAGAGTGAAGAAATGCTTCAAAAGATTGATAAAGTCGATCCTAAGACCTTCAGTCCGTAGAGAGGCATAATTGATGGTCAGTGAGTTCCTTATCATCAGGAGGCATGCATAACCGTAAATATCACCATCATCATTATTATACACAGTAGCTACAGGTGGAAAAAAACCAAAGCTATGGTGCCGAAAGCCTATCAAAGCATGGTGGGGGAAGGGCAAGAACTGGGGGGGTTGAAAAGATGGGGGGTATGAAAGTGAAGTTTGAACGAGACGATAGGAGTGAAAAAGCGTAAGAAGGGGAATAAGCAGGGGCATCCAAACGCCCATCCACCCTGCTTGATGCAGCAGATAAAGCACCGTTGACTATCCTCTGCGGTCGCAAGAGCATCAGGAAATCGTTTGAGAAAAGATGCACAGTATTTTGCGTGGGCAGGATATTGTCAAGTTGCCCAGGCTTAGACAGAAGAACGATTAGGGTTCTCAGCTAAAGCCTTTGATTCAAAAGTCTGATTTCAAGGCAGTGAACTACAAGGAGTCCGTTTTAAGGAATAAGGAGCCACCCTCAATCCAACCCCCAACCTGGAGGATAAGAAGGCGGAGCTTGTCTGGCCTCTAACCATTGACCAATCTGGTATGAGTGTCTCTGAAGGTGCAAAAAGCAACACCCAGCATAACTCAATGGATCGCTGACGCACGCAAACTATCGCGATGGTTAAATATCACAGAATAGAAGGGAATCGAAGTAGAAAATATTGTAATACTGAGAGCAGCTATATTTGGAAAAAATGGAGAGAATGACGGAGTAAGATTGGGCAGCTCAATACTGCGTCTGGAAAGTTTACTATACGGCTCGGGTACAGATGCGCAGATACAACTGCATAGGTAGTAGGTTTTTGAACGACTTTTAAATTATCACCAACAATGGCCAGCTCCGGAGGTGGTCTCTGTCACTCTTGAAGGAAAGCTTTGAGCTCCGAGGGTGCAAAGTAAAACCCGAAACGGTTGAAAACCAATGCTAGCGCTGCTTGGCAAGTTCGGAAGCTGTCACAGATAAGGGCTAAGTCAAGAAGTCGTTCAGCTGGAAGCAGCTCCACGCCTTGTATGTGGTCCCAAGTGAACGCGATCACCATCACTTCGTCAATAGCGAACTCGAAGAGGATAGGTGACAGTGGGCACCCGTGCCTTACACCGCTGGAGAAATTGAAGGGCGGCGACAGTTTGACATAAACCCTCACTTTACCCGAACTATGCACGTACAGCGCTCTGGTAATGTATACATATTTACTGGGCACACCTTTTCTAAGCAGGCATTCCCAAATGGCACATCGATCCACCAAATCGAGGACACATTCGATGTTGACGAACACAACGGTGGGTCGCCAATAAATATGGCAGTGCTCCAACAATTCACGCAAGGTAAGGATGTGGTCAATTCAGCCACGACCTCGACGAAACGCGGCATGCTCCTCACGAATCCGGCTTTCACGGGTGCCAGCCAATCCGGGAAAGATGACAGAGGCAAGTAACTTGGGGCCTAGGGAGATCCGACTGATTTTTATATAACTGCCACATTCCGAATGCGAGCCTCCCTTGAAGGTCGGGACAATAAGGTAGCGGCTCCAGTCAATTGGGACAGTTTCTTGCTCCCACAGCTTCACAAGCAAGTTATGCAAATCGTACAAAAAGTAGGTCTCCCGAATCTGAAGAGGACTAGAGGAAGACTATCTGGTCCAGCGACCTTACTCAACTTCAGCAGTCCGATCTCACGTTCGAATTCTGAACGATAGAGTGCATGGAAAGGGACAGCGCAGGGACAAGGTGATCAATGACCGATGAGGTATCTAACAATTCCGGCAAATTAAACTGCCTTTTAAAATTCTCATCCAAACGCTTCAAGCGCTTTGACAAGTTATAGATAGCCTATCCACTCTCGTCACACAGTTTCACTAACACCAGGTTTCCTGCTGTCCGTACCCGTATCAGATGAAATAACTTACGATGGTTACCAAAGGCAGTGACAACTTACATATCCGATGCATGAATGACCACCATGATCCGCGGCCAGCATGCACTTTTGTCCTAAGGTATTTGCGAGCGTCGTTGTTCCTCTCCCAGCCGGAATGTGCTGGCGAGTATCAATAAGTTCCTGAGACTGCGAAGAGACCAAATGTCCGTGTTGTTTGTTAGATTTGCCTGAGGATTTGTATGCTGCTAATAAGGTCTGGTGAATGTGCGACCAGTGATCCTCAATTGTAGGCAATCAGCGCTTACTCAGCCCGGATACCAGCGTACTACGATACGCATTCAGAACACCTGGTTAAGCCAATTTGCTGGTGTCTATGCACTCACAGAGTCGTCGAGGGTGTCCGCCAAAATGCACCCACAAATCAGCACATACAGGTGCGTGATCAGTGCCCACACATGTGCTCCAAATCGAGCGACAATTTCGCACGCAGCCTCTCCAGCAGTAACTTATGGCAATGTGATCGAGTTGCGTCCATGGCTAGTAGGAATCTAGTGGGCGCCAAGTCATCCGCCGGCGGGTACTGTGTCGGAAACTAGTGCTCGCAAGAAAAAAGCGAGCATCTTCACACGAATGAAGTAACCACTCACTGTTATCATTACGTGAGCCTATACCACGTTGACCGCCCAGATGCAGCTCATCAGTGGACAATATTCCAACTTGGGCGTTCAGATCCCCAACAACCATTACAGTATCCGTGATTCTTCTGTGACGAAGGAGCTCGTTCAGACGACGATAGTGATCGTCCTTCACCGAGTCCGTGCTACAGTTTGTGGGCGTGTAGGCAGCGATGACAAACAGGTACATACTAGCCGTGCGTGAGTTCCGAACCTTGAACGATCCAGCCAGTCGGACGGCACACATCCGGCTACTGATTGGGATCCAATCGACCAGAGCAGCTTCAACCCGGGGACTCAGGATAATACCAACAGTGGCTTAGTCGGTAGTCGTAGCTGCATCATCTCCAGATAGGTGCAATGAGAAAGAACTGCTAGTGTAATCTGAAGGGGATCTCAGAGTGAGCGCAGAACTCGAGTCTCTCAGGGCGGTTCTCCATTAGCAGCAAAATATCCATTGAGAGTATCTCCAATGTACGGGCAAGTGCTTCCCATTGACCAACCTTTAACAATGTGTGTACATTAAGGAATGCTAGCCTTAGGAAAGAGCAAGGGCTCCTAATAAAAGCAGATGAAATGGGCTTGTCAGATTGTCTGGAAGTGAGCTTGTCGACAGGACAGGAGTGACGCCTGTAATATTAAAGTATACGTTTTTACAGGCAACTTCACGCATAGTGCTAATACGTTAGCTAGTTACAGTAGGAAAATAACGTGTCGTTCATTTAAGTTCACGCGGGCATCAATTCATTCTCTCTCTGAGGGGTCACATTCAAGCACTATCAGCGACACTCATAATGGTCATGGAACACTAGCCCATGGGATTCCCTGAATGTAAGCACAGAGGTAGATGTGTGCGTCTATGGGGACAGGTATGCTCCCGAGTAAGTTGACACATTGGTGTTAACGGAAGTCAGACAAGGATAAGAGTGTCAGTGCTAAAGGTCACCAACAGTAAACCAGACTGTAGCTGGTCAACGTTCTCCCTCAGCACCCCTTTAAGAGATGTTTTGTCGGAAAGGTACCATTGGTTGGTATTCTGTCCCGGCTGATAGCCGTGTGTGCCAAATTTCTATCAGCGCCCTTGGGATCGAAGACGAGATCACGAACCGCATAGCGAAAGCTCGAAGTGCTTTTGCTAACCTTCGCTACCTTTGGCGACGGCGCGACATTACTCTTGCCCTGAAGGGTAGAGTGTACAATGCAGCGGTACGTTCGACCTTACTGTACGGTTGCGAAACCTGGCCCCTAAGATCGGCGGACATGAAGAGGCTACTTACGTCCGACCATCGGTGCCTTCGCCGTTTGGCTCACATCTGGTGGGAACACCGCGTGAGTAACGAGCGTGTTCGACGCCTTGTTTACGGCCTAGGAAAAGGGAATGAACCGCTCAGCACCGTCATTTCACTCACCAGGCTCCGATGGCTGGGCCACGTGTTGCGCATGCCAGCCCACCGACTCCCTCGACGTGCGTTGTTTGCTCACCGGGGATGTGGGTGGAAGAAGAGGAGAGGTGGCCAAGCGATGACTTGGTCCAGAGGAATGAAGGCCCTCACTTCGGAGCTGGCCTCAGTTGGAGCTTCACGGCTCCCTGGTTGGGGTCCAAAAGACGGTGAACACGTTTGGCTGGATACACTTGCTGATATGGCAAGGAGCCGACCTCAGTGGCGTTCCTGCTGTGAGTTTCTTTGTCTCTCCCCATCCCTTTAGCCTCCCCCTCCATCTACGATCTTATTTCGTAGGGTAAAACGTAATTAAATTTTTGTTTTTGCCTAGTAGCCGGCTAGTAGCTTACCGGAACGATGCGTATCCGTTGCTGGTAGCTCAGCTGGCATTCAACTGTCGTATTTATTTTTCCTTTATGTATTGTATGTATGTATTTTCTTTATGTATTGCGGTACAATAGCGGAGGTGTTTTACCATCTCTAGCTGACATGTATAATGATGATGATGATGATGTGCCAAATTTCCAGCGCTTAGCTGAGCACTCCGTAACGGATCGAGCGCACAATATGTGATCGGTCCAAGGTGCCCAGTACCAGGGGCACAATTAGGCTACAGCTTAGTACTGCCTTTTGACGAAACAACAAACCGCATGAAGATAATAATAATAATAGGCATATTTCTCAACAAGTGAAAAACAGTGACAATATTTGGCACAGAACATACGCGCAGCGGTGATGTCATGCTCTTGAAAGAGTAATATCAAGTTATCTTCTTATATCTGTGCATTCC